GAACTTTGAAAATCCAGACATTTAAATTTGGAAATCTTGACAATTTAAAAACTAATAACTAATATTAATAATTTGCTTTATTCCATTTTATGTTGATATAGAGAAATTTGGAAATCCTAACATTTAAATATGGAAATCTTAACATTTTAAAACTAATAATTTATATTAATAACCTAATTTATTAGATAATATATTTTTTGTAATTAAACTAATTTGGAAACAATGATATTTTAAAAAAATAAATTAAATTTATTTTATTTTTGTAAGACGATTTTTGTTGCTTTTACTATTTTACTATTATATTTTTATTTTTTTTTGTATAAAATATACTTTATATTTAGTATATCTAAAAAGATAATAATGTTTTGTCAATATTTTTATTTTGATTTTCCATTTTTTATAACAGTTAACATTTTTAAGCAAGTTGTAAATTGTAATATTTATTTTTTAGTTAAATAATATATGGAATATTATTTTCGTGTTTAATATAATTGGGGCATTGAAATTTTCTAAAAATGATATTTTGCATTTAGTATATCTAAAAAGACAATAATATTTTGTTAATATTACGTTTTTATTTTTTATTTTCCATTTTTTAATTAAAAGTTAACATTTTTATGTAATTTGTAAAATGTTAATATTTATTTTTTTGTTAAATTATATATGGAATATTAATTTCGTTTTTAATATAATTTGGAAACAATGACATTTTCTAAAAATAATAAATTAATATAATGATGTGTCATTATACGATTGGAGGACTTAAATCCTACGTGGATACTTTCAATGGCTTATAGCCTCAACTTTTATATAGTATAGATTGTATCTTTTTGTCTTGTCCTAATGACACATCACTATTCAATTATGTAAGAAATTGAAACAGATAATATGCTAAGTAGCATGCATGCAAAAAATATAGTTTTTCAGTTTGAATTTTACGAAGTGTGACGATTAGGGTTGAGTTTGATGGTTGTCTCTGCATCAGCTAAGGCTTTTGTTAAGCTTACCTAGACTCAAAAATGCAGTAGCTCGGTTGCTGCAACGTATAAAGATTTAAGCTTTATTACACTCTAGGATCAGCACACTGATCCACCTTATTAGACTTACTTTTTGCAACATTTCACATCGTTAAAAAAAGCCCTCAATATCAAAATTAATCAAACAATTCAAGGTACAAAAGCCTGTCTTAACATGTCTGGATATATTTTGAGTGTCTAAACCGACTTTTTAAAATAATCATTCTGACATAATCGTTTCGTTTAGGTTCGATTACATTAATTTTAGAACATTGCGTTACAAAAATGAAGTATATATGTATGAAAGCCATGTCATCCTAATTTTACAAAACGTCCCATACAGCTGTATAATTTACAAAACACTGTCAGGGACTTTAGGAGATGGCTCTCTTGACTCTATCTTACATTTTTAGTAATTCTTTTTACAAACAAACATAGTAACTTGAGACTCAAGCAACCGAGATGCATCTGCGGTGACCTACATTTCTTCTCATCTTCTGTCTTTTAGTCTCTTCTCTCCACACCTTACCAATATCTTGAGCTATGTTAACAGCATCTGCAGAAGCTCCAGCCAACCCTTTCCTAGTGAATCCAGCCGCATATAAACCCGACTTCCCTTTCCACGCGTTTGGAAACGGCGATTTAGGGAACCCATTCTTTGCAAAGAACTCACTTTCTTGAAGCCAAGAAGGGACGTTGCTACGATAACCGGTGGCGAGAACCACGGCATCAATATCTAGCTTCTGACCATCTACGAGCTCCACGTGGCTTCGTGAGAACCGTTTGATCGCAGGGACGATATCTACGTCGCCGGACTTTATCTTCTCGAGTGCACCAATGTCGAGAACCGGCGTCTTTCCCGTCTTGCTTTTAAGTTCCATTGGGCCTATATTGGGCCTCTTAAGCCCGTATTTTGATAAGCTTCCTAGAACTAGCCATGATACGATCAGTAAAAGCTTGTCTACGAGCCATAGAGGTAGCCACTTCATTAACATCACTGATATTCCGAATGTTGATTTTCCCATAACTTCTCTTGGTAACACATGAACCTGGTCGAGTTAAGAAACACAACAACACTATTAGAGACGGCTTAAGATTTTAGAAGCTATAGATAAATTTAGTATTCCCTCCATTTCAATTTACTCGTCTTTTTGAATATTTGCACACAGACAAAAAAAATATTAATTTTGTATATTTTATAGGAAAAAACACAATCACCTATAAACCTAACCACATTTCAACTAATATAAAATTATAATAGTAGATAAAATCAATAATTTTGCATTAAAATTATAAAACGTCACTTATATTAAAACAAAAATTTTAGTTTACAACGACAATTAAATTAAAACGGAGGGAGTAAGAATTTTATTATAAAAATTAAACAATTTAATTTAAAAGTTTTGAAAGGTTATATAGATTACTAATGTTTCAAACTATGTAGTTGTAAAAATATAAATAATTTTTTTTTTGCTTACCGAGCTTCTAACGACCATGGAAGTAATAGCATTGTGATTAGCAAGATCAAGAGACACTTCCATGCCTGAGTTTCCACATCCCACGACAAGAACTCTCTTCCCTCTAAACTTCTCGCCTGACTTATACTCACAAGCGTGAATCACTTCTCCATTAAACTCATTCTTAAGCCCATTAATCTCCGGCACAACTTGCTCGGCGTTTTCTCCCGTCGCCACCACCAACCACCGGCAAATATACTCCGTCTCCTCTCCAGCATCTGTCGTTGAGGCCATCCTAACTCGCCATAACCCGTTGGTTTCATCAAACCGAGCAGACTTTACGGATTTATTAAACTCCGGTTTAATCTTGAAATGACTTGCGTAGGACTCAAGGTAGTCGATGAACTGTCGTTTTGTTGGGTATTCAGGGTAGTGATCAGGGAAGGGCATTTTGGGTAATTGACAGAATTTTTTGGGTAAGTGAAGCTTGAGTCTGTCGTAAGTACGTTTTTGCCATAGTGATGCTATGCAGTCTGATCTTTCGACTACAACGAATGGGACTCCTTGATCACGAAGACAAGCTGCTGTTGCTAAACCGGATGGACCGGCTCCTACGATAACCGGACCGTTGACCCAAATACACCTACGGTCTGATAAATATTCTTCATTTGCCATGAGACTAAACATAGTATTATCCATTTTTTGAAGTGAGTATGAGCAAGTATGTTTTGATCGGTTTGAAAGTATAGGTAGTGAAGTTGAATGTTTTTGTTTTTGTTTGTGTTGTTGTATGAGAAATGAGATCTATTGGTTTGGATTCGGAGGGAGAAGATGTGTGTATTTATAGGAGTCGAATGCATATGGTTTGCATCTTCTTAGGACTTATTATTTTTATCAGTGTGAATAATTTGTATGCCATATTTTATTTAGTACCTAACTTTGTCATATGCTTTTGCTTAAAATGCGAAATACTTAACATTATTAGCACTTTTTCGATAGAATTATTCGATTCTCTCATTGTATATTGTGTGACTTTGATTAGAAAATAGTATCTCACAAAAATCATTAATCATAATTTTTTCCGTCTTTGTTTATATTTGCTGCTGATAGTTATACTTGATCACCTCGCAATCTGATTATACTGGTTCTTGATGTTGCTTCCCGTTGATTTTTACTTATATAATTTAGTGATGTGAAAGAGTAATAAATTGAAGACTGGACCAGAAAGATAATGGGTGATAGGTGTGTGTATTGATCATTTGGTCCAATCCATGCGAAGAGCTCCGCTAATTGACGAGTTTAAATAGTACGTATGATAGGTTTATATATGCATGGCATAGCTTGTACATAAGGTAATGGTACTCATAAAACGTAGTAGTACTAACCCTTCAGGGGATTGTATAAATTAAGAGTCTTTTATGACTCCATTGATTTTGTTTTGTCTGTTTCTTTAAATTCTTATCTTCTCCACTACACATATTCTATTCGTCTATTAAAATAGTTCTTGATGGCAAAAAAAAAGAAGAAGATAGTTTTCTAAGTTGTTATTGGAAGTTAATTGTGTTTTGTTTTTTGCCAACTAAGTAATCCCACTTGTTCGTTATTATTACTAACGTAATAGAAGTATTTAATGTCGTTCACGTTAATTATTGGTCATATGAATCCACGTGGCACATCATGCTCACAAATACTCAACCACGTGGAGAGTTTTGGCCAAATTACTAAACTAACCACATCAAATAAAAAAGCAACTTTCTTAATTATAACTACCATTTCTATTGCGATTATCTTTTGTTTTTTCTTTGCTCTTTTAGGTACTTTCAAGTTTCATATTAGTTTCTTCTAAGCTTGTGACATAATATATATTTTTAATCTTTAAAGGGAATAGTTTCTTTTCAAAAGGGTATACCAAAGCGAATAGTTGGAAGTTTATTGCTTCCTTTCCCAATTTATTAAGATTTAGTGGGTGTTAATAATAAAAGAAATGCACTCCCATGTAATGCACTAAATTGATCAAAGGATTCCATTGGAAAAACGGAAATTAAATTTGGCACTCATTCCCTAAATGCGAATTTACTATTATTTATTATCATATATAAACAATAAATATGTATATACTATAATATTGTGGTAAATACTTTAATATATCATTATGTACCTTAGGTTATAAAAATTATTTGAATTCCTAAACTTTGTAATACATATAATAATGTTGTGGGAAGTACAAGTATATACGCAATTACGCATGCATGGATGTAATCCACTAACTTGAAATTAGAGAATAAGATGGAAAAGTATTCATGGGGAAATGAAATATAGATATGTGCATGAATCTGTTTTCCCATTAGCTACTAAATTATAACAGTTTTTTTTTTCTTGCAACTCTTATTAACAGGTTTATTTAGAGATATATGACATAATGTATATGCAGAAAACATGTATATATTTTTTTCATGTATACATACTTATACAAAGCAAATTTATACTTAAAGCGATAGCATCTAATAATACACGATTTGGCTGTATTATTAGCTAGGGCTAATATACATTGCTATATATGTCGTAATGCAAGTTCGATTACGTTTGTCCTCGTATATACTTTTAAAACTATGAATTAATGTGTAGTTCATGTATTATTGTCTAGTATCATGAAATTATATTATTAGTAGCATATTTTATTGTTTGGAAGCTAGCGAGGTTCGAGAATATGGAATCGAGTGGACGTAAAATATGAGTATCAAATAAAAGGTAGACGCGAATTCGAATTAGTGGAGAACTTAATTAACAAAATATATAAAACATGTCACCTAGCTTTACATTTGTATATATAAAATATAGCAATTTGTTTTATAAATTGAAATATATAGACATAAACAATTTCTACATGATCTCTTAAATACATCGTTACACTTTGGCATGACATAACATTTTGAATACGTTCAGATATAACCAGATTTATCAAAAACGTTATATTGTCATATTGATCAAATTTATCTAGAACATACATATAATTGATATATATCATAATATTGTTGCAAATTTGATTTGAAAAGTAGAAGAGTATTATTATAACGTCCGTATACATGATTGTTCTTTAGTTTTCGGTTAGGTTCAGTGATCATCGTTTCCCTATAAAGGGACCCTCGTAGATACTCCAAATTAAAGGCTTTATAGTCATGATCGTTGTGAAAAATATCTATAATTTCTTTCATTCTTATACTAAACCTATATAGTAACACAACCATGGTGGATTTTCTTTAACAAAAGTAATCAAGGTAGTTTTATCAAAATTTGTAACAAGGACATATGTATTATAAGTTTATAAGATAATATGTTCACATGGCTCCTACCCAAAAGCTATATATATATTATTGGTTATTAGGAATTTCATTATAAGAAATGAGACATGAAAATATAATTAAAGCTACTGAGATTTTACTAAAGTTCTCTCAAAATCTTCTGTTGAGATGATGACTCTTACTAGGAAACGATTAAGACATCAATATATGGAAATTAAAGTTTTGAGTCGTTAAGTGATAATGTAGGACGTTTAGAGTAATGCATGATAGCATGTGATCGATCATAAATCTTGCCTTAACCACTGCTCGGATTCCTCAACTACAAAGTCAAACTTGTTTCTTATACATGTATTCTACAAATTGATACCTGCATCTACATCATGTATTTTCGGTCATATAATACACCTACTTGTGTCAGAGTAGTTTAAGCTTCTTGTTTGTTTGCAGTTGCATTTCCGATCAAGTTAGTAAATTATAAATTATAGTGTTACAAAGTTAATTACTTTAATTTTAGTAATATATGAATTTTTGCTGATTAATTTTAATACAATCTTATATGTGATTTTGTAACATGATTTGTTTTTATCTTCAAATTTATATATTTATTGTATATTATTAAGAATTCTAATCATATATATTGGGAAAATTTTGAGTATATTTTTTTTCGTATACTATAATATAATGTAATATAATACGAGCAGAATCGGTCCTTGGCACAAGCTAAATAAACAGTGGTTTGCGGCTGTATTATTGTAAAGAAATATCCGATCATATTTTTACAATAGTCTTTTTTAATGTAGTGGTAAAATTTCAAAGGAACAAATTTGCTGTGCATAACCTGAATTCGAGTTTCAGAAGTACGATTTTTTTTAAAAAAAATTGTTTCTAATCTTAGATTTCTAGGACTGCACTGAATACGAGTGATATTTTCTATCTTTAGTTCATATATATAGAGTGAGAAAATATAAATATATTACATATATATAATCATAGTCTTTCGGTGAATCATTTAACTGGAGGCTGGAGCATGATCTTCTGGAACATGACAAATTTTTTGATTAAAGGTTCTTATTTTGACTAATTTTGAATTAATTGATTTGGTTTCTTAACGAATTCGGTATTCTAGCATTAAATTGTATTATTTGTTAGTTAATTGATGTTTGTCAACAGTTAATTAATTAAGTATTCAGTCAATAAACAAACCAGACACATTATTAACAGAAGCACAAAACCCATGAGACCACATGAAATTCCGATTTTAAAAAGGTTAGAGGATAACTATACACACATATATAAATATGTGTGTGTGTGTTCGAATAATGATGACCCGTTAAGTATGGTTAGTGCTGTAACTTGTAATCGGCAGGTCAAAATTAAGATTATTAAACTGAGTGGTCAGTCAAAGCAGCTAGTTGCAAATTAGTATAACATATCACACACATCGTTCTTTGACTATTTTTTAAATTTTATAAAGATAACATAACTAATGCAAGAAAATTAGTGTTTTCGTCGTAAGGATAAGTTTAAACGGTATTACCAGAACCACAAATTGTCACACATGTATCTTTAAAATTGTCAAACATATCACATGATATGACTATCATACACATAACCGATGCATTGCCACGATATACATTAGTATAATATTGAGTTTATGATACTCGAATAATACAGGCCACAAATGAACAAGTCAATATTTGGCCCATTTTATAAGTAAATGACATTATCATCTATTTTTGTTTGTATACCCATAAATGTATTACTGGACCAATATTTGGATAAGTGACCCAAGGTTGTGCCCATTTCTAAAGTGAGATTGAAAGAGAATCTCTTTTTCTTTGCAAAACAAGAAATATCAACAGCATCGGTTAATTTTGTTAACCTTAATCTTCAGAAGTTGACCAAAAAAAACTAATCTTATACAGTAAACAATAATTATTTATTAGCCTGATATGCTCTAATAATTTCCAGTGTGAAAACATCAGTAAAGAACTAATTAAGGATGTTACTCTCATATATAGTTGAAACTTGAAACATGTACAAGTGTTGTTAATACATACGATCTTCTCAAAATTTTAAAGCTAGCTTATAGGTTACCAAATCAAACAAGCCTAGCTGTTGCTACAAAAATATAAAGAATATGTATATTGTATTTGTACGGAAACATTTAGACAAGTTGATCCAAGCCATTTGAAATCTCGTATTGAAAACGAACAAGTTGTGTAGAAATGGATCAACGTCACATTCAAGGCAGAAGAGACTCGAGAGACCTATAACCTATTGGCTATAAGACAACCTCACGGAATGTTTGAGATGATAATGACACTCTTTTTTTTTTGGAGATAATTGTATCAAATCTGGATGTCAGTAAATATGAAAGCAACGATCTGAGTTTGCCAG